CTACCACTACCGCTACCACTCCCACTACCACTACCACCACCACCACCACCACGACGACGACGACGACGACGAAACTAGTACTGTATTAGCACGAACATCAATACTATGACAATAGTCAGAGCAGGAATAGGATATAAATAACGATAGTAATAGTCATTTTCATAATCAAATTAAATTCATTTGCATAGTCATAATCACAATAGTAAGTAAAACAATCTTTCTCCGGAGAAAGTGGCCTGATAGTAAACCAGAAATATATCATGACAGCCTTGTCACTAACGTGAGCTCTGCAAGTCCGGGAGGGACCCTGCCAGGCGAGGCCCACGAGAAGCAGCTTCAAGCGGAGGTTCGGCGCAGAGTTCCCGAACATTCCATTAGGGAATATACCGTACCTAATAAAGCAACTATGAAGGATACGGGTTTCAGTGCAGCTATGCGCCTTCATCAACGGATTTCGGAGTCAAAGGTTTTCTTAAAGCTTAGGCTGTTTGGGTTTGTCGATCAAGAGAGCCCTCCACAGACACATTCGGCTTTCTCTCGGTGTTGTCTTTGGTGCCCGTAAGTGGCGACACGCCTCAATTAGAACAGCGAGCCAAGAAATCAAAGTTTCTCCTGTCGGCAAAGCCGTGGGAATCACAATCACAATGCCCGCTGCCATCACAGCAGGAGTCAACAGCTGACACTTGCTCAAACCCGCAAGTGTCGACGCCTGTGCCACACGCCCCAGAACCTCGCTGCAAGCCCACGATGTGGCAGGCCGAGCGCCGCAAGCACGAGGAGCGCGAGAGTGAAGAGCGCGAAGAGCGCCAGCGCAAGGAGCAGGAGCGGTTGCACCGCGAGGAGCTAAGGCCCGAAGCTGTAGGGTGCGGAAGAGCTTGCATTCAGGGCTCGAGAGGCGGAGTTGCTGTCGGATGGCTGGCGGTACTTGTAGCGTTCATCTCTAGCAGCCGCCGGATGCTCTGAGCTTGTGCGACATGGTCTTCGATTTGGCTCACAGCTTGGAGCCATGGTTCAGTATAAGATCCTTGGGCCAGGCATTCAGCCAGCCAGCCAAACACCAGCGCAGACAGAGCTGCGCATTCATGGCACAGATGAGGTGCTTGTCGTGCCGGTGGTCACCAGCACCAAGGTGCTGGAGCTCAAGGAGATGCTGTCCATGAAGCTAGGCATCTACCCCAATGATTTACAGATCTTCACAAGGGCGGGTGGCTATTGGCGGCTGCAGATGGATCATGAGGAGATAGGCAGAAAAGTCCGGGTCAAAGGCATCAAGTCCTTCACACCCGAGCGGGCCCAGTACGAGCACCCTTTCCTGATCATCGGTGCGGGGCATATTGGACTGCGGCACGGCATCTACTTACTCCAGCATGATCATCCCAACTTCGTTATCGTGGATCGAAGGGACAAGGTTGGTGGGACCTCATGGATCGCGCAGGCCAACAAGACGTCGAAGCTACAAACGGAGCTGGGCACATACCACTTACAGTACGACGAGATCAACCCCGTACCCAAAAACATGTCTACTTGGCCATCGCGCGATGAACTGCTGGACCACTTTGCGCAGGTCTCGGCTGATTACGGGCTCATGCCCCACATCCAGCTCCAAACCAATGTGAAAAGTATCAGCGTGCTTGGGACAAGCTCAGCCAGTGGACCTTTGGGAGATGTGAGCCTCGAGGCAACGGAGAACTACACCGGCAACCTGCCCCCTGAACCCACACGGAAGGGCCTGAAGAGCATGACGGTGAGCTGTGTCTTCATGTATCCGGGGAACTTATCTCTACCAAGGCAGTACGAATACAAGGGGGAGGATGTCTTTGATGGGACGATCGAGTATGCCATGTTCGATAACATCGACTACAGTGCAGCTGTCACAGGAAAAGATATCATGATCGCCGGGCATGGCGCCTTTGGGGTGGAAAATATCCGCACATGCTGCGAGTTTTCTTCCAAGAAGATCTACATGGTCTGCCGAAGGAAAAATCTCGCCTGTCCTCGGGTATGTTCTTGGTTTGCCAACCAATCAGATCCCCCAGTCTCAGGAGCCATGTTTTTGGAGAGCATGGAGCCAGCTTACAATCTCATTGGCTTCGACCCATGGGCCTTTCACTCGGTTATCGCCAACTCGGCAAGGACCAACGCACATATCGCCCAGAAGTCACGACTCTCGCCGCTACTTTGAGGCTCTCGTTTGTCTTGAAGCAAGCCAGGCGACGTGTGAAGCCACCCATAGGAAGCTCTAGAATCCAGGCCCTAACGAGAGCTAAGGATTTGGCATTGGAGACGTGTATTTCCTGGCCCTGAGTATGGGGAAGTGTGAGGTCATTGTCGACGAGGTAAAGCGACTTTCCGCGGGAAAGGTCCACCTCGAGTCCGGAAGGGAGCTCTCGGTACAGACAATTCTCAAAGTTTTCGGCTTTGTAGGAGACTTTGAGGTTGACCGACTGCTAAAGATCAAGACCATGTATGGCTTCTGGCCTGATGCCGACAACCGACGATATACCGCCAGTGAGCATCCGGGAGTTCATGCCAGCAACTTTGGCGGCACCAGCCTTTCTCCAGGTGCGATCGCCTGGGTCCAACATGCAAGCCACATGATGTGGTTGCCCAAAGACTGGCGCAGAGTGGTCGAGTCCCAACAGCTGCCCAGCAACGAGCGGGACGACTCGATATCTCGGCCCGCCTACGTCTTCGATGCCAAGACTGCGCTCCCGTTGGGCTTCATCCTACCTGCGATCTGCCCGGCGCTGGGCGAGATGCAGGCGGGACTCGGCGCCCTCAAGAGAAGGAAGCAGCTCGAATGCCATCCTGTGGAGCGATTTCTTGAGGAGTGCGAAAGTGAGTGGGAGGACTATGCCCGGAAGTGGAAAGCGGAGGATCCTTCGTTGAAGGATCATCCCAAGTACCCGTACTCCCTTGCAAAGGTCCGAGAGCTGCTGAAGAAGCACGACGCATCCACCCAAACTGGCCGATGATGCTGAAGCCATACGTGAACCAAAATAAGGGCTCATGACAGTTCTGGGGTAAGAGAAACAAGACAGAGATCGGATGTGCCCGTGTGACCTGAACCTACCGCGAGGTCTAGAGTCTGGAGTTACAGTCGCAGTCGTCGTAGACGACAAGTAAGCACGTGTCGCATGCAGTTGTCAGGTGGTGAAAAGGATGATGATTCTGGCACACTTTATGTTAGTGGATGAAAATGAAGATGTTGGTTGCATGCTGCCGAGATGAAAACAACAATCCTCCCGATCACCCTGAGGAAAGCTGCACATCAGTGAGAATGACAACAGCAGCAGCAACGGCAATGGTTTCAGTTGTTGCTGGCTGTCGTCGCCGCGGTCGTCGCAGGATTATGTCCCTTGTCGTTCGCATGCGGTTGTGTTCTCGTGATTTCTTATGACAGCTGAGTGTGCTACACATCCCGGCTGTTGGGTTGACCCAGGTCATTGGTCTTGACCTTTTGCTGGTATCGAATTAATCTTTCCCCTTCTCTAACATCATCTTTGTGTTTCAAGAAGATCTGGAGCTTGGGACAGGCGCGAGGAAGAGAGAAGAAGGAAGGAGGCCTGGCCGGCGGATCTCCAAGCTTTTAGGGCCTGAAGGACCCCCCCCATGCTTTGCGACAGGCTCTTCGTCAAGAAGAGGAGGAGGCAGAGGAGCGCAGGAGGGCTCAGAAGAGCACGACTCTCAAGAAGGCGCCTCATGTTTGGGCGTTAGTTCATGCTGCCCCACAGGTCCTTTCCTCTTGGAGTTTCGCTGTTTCTTCACAACATCTCTAGCTACATCCATCTCTTGCTAGGCCAACTTTGTAGATGTCGGGCTACACTTACCTTTGCGGGCCTGTCTATGCATCTCCATCTCTTCTCCATGCTCTGTGCAATGCGAGGCCGCCCCTGCCCCAGTCGCACCGGATGCCCCGGACGTGTACAGTGACGACGATGTGGATGATGATTTCGAGGTGCACATGGCAAACGGCACGTGCAACTCCAAGAAGTCTAAGCATTTCCCGTTCTTTCGAGTTGTGGCTTCCGCTGTGTCAGTCACTCCGGACGTGTGCTTTGTGCCTTCCAAGCACATGGCAGCTCTGTCGCTGCCTTGCAGGTCGTGGACTTGGACACGCTGGATGTCGAAGACTTCGTCATCGTTCGAGATCGGAACTTGTGATTGCTCATGCTCACCTCTAGGCTCTAGAGCTTGAGTGCGAACACCTGCATGAGACCAAAGGTGCAAAATCATCATGCCTCTCTTATAGCGGCCGCGTATTGTAAGACGAACTCTCGCTGTCCTCGGGAAGTGCGTGGGAATCAGGGCCCCGGGAGCTCCAGAACGGAGTGGCTTTTTTGGTGGCCCTCATGCTCAGACAGTCTGGCTTCTCATCTACCATATAACAGCAGGCCCGGGCCCCCCCGAAAACCATAAGAGCCCGAAGCCATAAGGTTTAGGGGTTTAGGATGGTTTAGGGTTTAGGGCTTAAGAACCCGAAACCATAAGGTTTAGGGCTTTAGGGTCTTAGGATGCTTTAGGGCTTTAGGCTTAGGGTTTATAAGAGCCCGAAAGCCCCAGCCCGAGAAGAGGAGGATTTCATCTCCGACTCCGAGGGCGGCGAAGAGCTGCTCCGAGGGCCCAAAGCCCGGCAGGGGGTTTCCCTGAGCTCATGGGTTCACTCTGGGAGGCTCCTAGCTTCTCTCTCATATGACTATTACCATATTACATATATATATACATATACATCTACATATATATATATATATTTACATAGGTAAGTGTGTGAGTGTGTGTTTATAGATATCATCTTATGATATTGCATAGTGCATACTACATATGATATTATTCCTTCAAGAGTTCCTTTACAGGAGGGGAGATTTGGAAGGGCTCCGGCTGCAGTGAGTTGGGCTTGAACCCGGACCCCCAACCTCGGAAAGAGCGACTAAGTTTGAGGTTGAGGTCTTGCTCGTTTGCGATTGGTCGCCTCGCAGAGCGGCTTTCGATGCAAGTTGGCCTGAAGTCAACTCTCTGCCGTCGACATTCCAACCTCAAGCCTTGAGTCCTTGTGCGCGTAAGGATTCGGCTGATAGTTAAAACTGTTTGATTCAAAGATATTGCACGAGACTTTGAGCCGTAGCATTGGGCAGAGGTTTCTCGCAACATTTCTGGGCGCTACGGTCTTCGGTTTTGTGTCGGTGCAGGAGAACGGCATGGCCGAGCGACGGATATGCATGTACCGCTGGACTGGCACTGGGTGGGTGGCTGAAGAAGGTGCTCCTGTCGCAGAGCAGGCCAGCCGGCCATGCGACCAAGTCCGCCTGCGACTGGCGACATTCAACATTCTGGCAGACTGCTTTCCTTGGTTCGTTCGTCTGGCCATCGACAGTGAGAAACGCTTTGCGGCACTAGTAGACGAGCTCAGCAGGTTGGACGCAGACGTACTGGTCATGAATGAAGTCACTGGCAACAGTCTTCGTCGTCTTCTAGATTCGGAGTACGTGCGCACATCCTACTACGTTTCCGAGCTGCCGACCGGTGCGAACGGCACATTGACTGGTTCACATGGCTGCGTCATGTTCAGCAAGCTTCCCATGACACATAGCTATGCATTGCGGATGGACTCCATGAAGCGGGAGGCCATATTCGGGGTGCTTGAGATTGCGAGCCGAAAGATAGCGATATGCTCCCTACACACCGTGGCCCACCAGAGCCCCCAGAACAAGGCAGTCAGAGCCAAGCAGCTCTCACGAGTAGTGGCTTTTGCCAGAGAGCAGCGCCTGGACGGTTTCTTCGTGGCCGGCGACTTGAACTTGCACTACACCGCTGAAGATGCTGTAGTACCCGCCAACGGCTTGCTCGATGCTTGGGCGGAGACACACTTCGGCGAATCCGGTGATGCGGACCCCGGTTACACCTTTGATGCAGGGTTGAATTCCATGATTCCGCGCTACATCCCTGGAGAGGTGCGCAAGATGCGGCTGGACCGAATCCTGGTGTCAGAGAAGTGTGCTCTTGTGCCTGAAAAGCCGTGTGAGTTGTGGGCGACAAGTGCAGTTGATGCATCACGTGATATATTCTTGAGCGATCACTTCGGTCTTGTTCAGGATCTTAGTGTGGACCCAAAGGGCTGGCACGGAAAGGCTTCTGTTCGTCGCCAACTTCAAGAGAATGGTGCTGTTCCCTTGGAGGTCCACCCCGTTTCCAACGCGCGTTTTTGCCTCGCGCTGGTTTCTCACGTCGGATGGCTTGCCTTGCGGATGCTGGGGCTCCGCTGAAGAGATGCCGTCGGCCAGCTACCGGATGCGTGCAGCTTCGGGTGCAGCTGGAATGTGCAGGCAGCTTCTCCCCTAGCTGAACATCTGCTCTCTCGGTTGTACAGATCACTCGAGGTGGGTAGCGGAAAAAGAGGTGTGTGTGCGTAAGCTTCTTTTGGTGTGGCTGGGCAATTTCTGATGCCTATCGGCTGAAAACATACTTCTCTAATGCATCTATACCTTGCAGATGCGAAGATAGCGGTGCAGTCTGTGGGAAGTTCTAGAGTCTAGAGTCTAGAGATTCTAATCGAGGCAACGGGGCCAGATTGTGGAGGTGGATGAAGATGGCGATGCGTGCCTCCAAACGCTGTGACTGAAAGTGGCGGTCATCTGCCGAAGTCTGCAATCACACGTGCCACTGTAGTTCTGCGCCGTAGGCAGGAGGCAACTTTGCCTGGCAGGTACATCCGATTCCGCGACCATCGAAAGAAGCAGTGGGTTCGGTGCTTATCTAGCTGCTGCACAGCAGCTGCGATTGAACCCCGCAGCTGGAGAGTCGACGGTAATCTGAATCTCTCCTGCCTTTGCTGGAGGTCTACAGTGAGAATCTGCCTTACCTTGCTAAGGCCGAGTTCTCAAATTTGCGGCCTTTGGCCAGAAGAACATCAGAAAGCTCTTGACAGGTCCTCTTCGACAAGGGAGACATTCTCCATGTGAGGCTCTGCCTGTGCTCGGCAGTGGTCTTTGTTGAGAGGAACAGCAGGAAGTCCCGCACCCCTGTGTGCAGGCGAAGCTTCCATTGCGGTTCGTTTCACATCCGCCGAGGGTCCGATGCCTGAGCTTGTTGCAGACAACAGGTCCTTCTGGACACCATGTGTGAGTGTTTCCATCAAGTGTGCTTTTAGCATTAGTGTAGCTTCGTAGTCAGGATGCAGCTAAGCTACGTAAGGCTCAGATTGCACATCCTGTTAGCTTCACCGCTCATGTTTCCCAATTTACTCGTCCATAGTCTTCATTTCCCTCCTAGCGCTTCGCTAAACCCGCAGTGGTATCCCCGAGCCAAGGCAGACGGGCGTCGCCAAGCGTCTGGATGCAGGCACAAGCCTGTATAATGGCATTGTGCCCGTGTGATGATCTTGTTACAGTTCGTTCCTTCAACAAGTAGGCTTCAGGAAATTCAGTAGGAAACGCATGCTGCTGGAACGGGTCCACGATTCAACATCCGTAGGTCAGCCGGATCTTGTGCTAGAGAAAGGGTCACGCATTGCGAAAGGGGGCGACCTCTTGGTGGAATTTGACCAGAATGTTGGTGACCAGTGGGCCCCGCTCTTAGTGGCCTCACTCTACTCTAATGCTGAAGGTGATCGGACGTGCTGAAACTAGAGAGACAGCCGAAGGGCGCTAGTGATCGCTTGCCGTACAGTTCAAACGGAGAGTTCGCGGCTTCGGCGATGTGGCAAATGTTTGTACAGTCAGGTAGCAACTGCTGCAGGAGTTGTCGATGCATACTTCAGCTCAAGCCATTGTAAGTGAGGTGCAGTACTACAGCTTGGTGTTCATGGAGAAGGAGCCGACGTATCAGGCAGTGGAAAGTCTGCAAAAAGGCAATGCGCCCATGTTTCAAGGAGAAGCCGGCAGATTCCTCCGGGCCTAGCAAGCAAAAGGCCACCGCTGAGGCGTTTGGGATGAATCTTCGTGCAGTTGGCCCTGTCTCGCTTGTGAATGGCAGGGCATAC